ATTTTACAGCAAAGATAATTTGCTGTATCTAATGGTGTACGTGATTGTCGTTTTTTTTGTTTGTAAAATAGACCAAAGTAAGTGAATCCTTTATATCAATGTATAATGGTTATTACTTCCACTCAGTTAAGTTTTGAGGTTTAGCTTCCATTTATTTTTTAAATTCTTTATAGAGGACTGTAATTTCTAATTTGCCATATTCATTTTTCTTCTTTATTTTCCCTACTGATATAATTCGGCTGTGTCTCCACCCAAATCTCTTCTTGAATTTAGTTCCCTAAGTCTCCACGTGTCATGGGAGGGACCTGGTGGGAGGTAATTGAATCAGAGGATGGGTTCCCCCATGTTGTTCTCGTGATAGTGAGTGAGTTCTCACGAGTTTTTATGGCATTATTAGCTCTGGCATTTACCCTGCCGGCACTCATTGTCTCTCCCGCCACCCTGTGAAGAGGCACCTTCCACCATGATTGTAGGTATCCTGTGACCTCCCCAGTCATTTGGAACTGTGAGTCAATTAAACCTCTTTTCTTTGTAAATTACTCAGTCTTGGGTATTTCTTTTTTTTTTTTTTTTTGCTGAGTTATCTTTATTTAGTTTTAAATTATCTGTTTATTGATAACAATCTCTGTTTTATAGATGACCTAGTATTTTTCAGCTTCAAAGATGTGTATTCTGTGGTCAGGTTGTCCAAGTTAATATAGCAGCATGATTCATAATCCTTTGGGTATATACCCAGAAATGGGATGGCTGGGTCATATGCGTACATCAGTTCTACAGATCCCTTGGAGAATCGCCATACCTGTTTTCCATAATGGTTAACTATTTACAATCCCACCAACATTGTAAAAGTGTTCCTATTTCTCCACATCCTCTCCAGCACCTGTGTTTCCTGACTTTTTAATGATCACCATTCTAACTGGTGTGAGATGGTATCCATTGTGGTTTTGATTTGCATTTCTCTGATGGCGAGTGATGTTGAGCATTTTTCAGTGTCTGTGTGCTGTATGAATGTCGTCTTTTGAGAAATGTCTGTTCATATCCTTTGCCCACTTTTGATGGGTTGTTGTTTTTCTTGTAAATTTGAGTTCTTTGTAGGTTCTGGATATTAGCCCTTTGTCAGATGAGTAGATTGCAAAAATTTTCTCCCATTCTGTAGGTTGCCTGTTCACTCTGATGGTAGTTTCTTTGCTGTGCAGAAGCCTCTTTAGTTTAATGAGATCCCATTTGTCAATTTTGGCTTTTGCTGCCGTTGCTTTTGGTGTTTTAGACATGAAGTCTTTGCCCATGCCTATGTCCTGAATGGTACTACCTAGTTTTCCTCTAGGATTTTTATGGTATTAGGTCTAACATTTAAGTCTCTAATCCATCTTGAATTAATTTTCGTATAAGGAGTAAGGAAAGCAGCATGAGATTGGACTAAATACACCTACTGTTACCTCATTATGTTTATACTTTCATTCTTTCTTTCGCCTGTTAAATTATTTTTTATGTAGGTCATTGGCAAATATTTATAATTATTTTACATTAAATTAGCCATTAAAGGTATTTTGAGTTCATAATATTCTTGGCATTTTACACTTGATGCTTACATAGAAAGCAGTCACGTATAGAATGATGAATTTGCAAGAACATCTAGCCTTATTGGGGCAGGGCATGGAGGGTGTCAAGCTTTTATTAACATTGGCTATAATTTGAAGTAAGTAACCTTAAAATAAGTAAATGTTCATTGAAAATATTCAGTAATACAGAAGTATTAATATATAAGTGAAAAGTACATTTTTCATACCTATCTCTCAAGCTTTTACACACTTGTTATCTGTCAGCACATCAATATATAAAATTTACATTCTGCACATGCAAGTGTAAATGTTTATATATGTATCTGTGTTGTATTTACATGTATAAAAATACATAGCAATATATTTCTTCTTACAAAATGAAATCTGACCTTGTATATTGCTCTTTTTTATTTTTTCCCCATTCATCAAACACAGTAGTGTGGGCATCCTTGTACAAAAGTACGTCTCATTTTTACATCAGCCAGTTACTCCAAATTGAAAATAACCTTTACTTTATTAAATTATCTCCCTATTGATAAAATATAAGGCATCTGTTTTTTTGTTTTTTTTTTCCTAAAAATGATGAAGTACAGAACACCTAAGTGGGGAAGTATCTATAGCTTTGAATTTTGCAAGCAGAATTTTTGAGTCAAAGTGTGTGCACATTCACATGTTGACTGACAGCAGAAAGTAGTTTATCTTCCAATTTGCTTTCCACCAACTGTGTATATTTCACCGCACTGCCACATTCACTAATCATTGCCTTTTTTAAAAAAGACAGTTTTTTGGAGAAATTTTGAATTGTATTGATTTCAGATACATTTTGTAATCACCAATGTAGTGTCACATTTTTACATGATTCTTGCTCTTATTTATTTATTCCTCTATGAATTACCTTCATTTCCTTTGTCTATTGCTCTATCATATTGTTTAGATATTGTTCTAGTTGATTTAATGTTGTTAATATATATTGACCATTAAGCCATAGTTTACTATGTTGGTTTTCTTTTTGCAACTATTGTGGCTGTGGTCAGCCATTAATGACTTTTAAAACAATTATATGTAGTTTTATTTGTCATTGTTTTGTTTCCAGGCCACATATCTTGATGAGAAAAGAGTCTCTCAAGTCAAGAAAATAAAAACATTTTATTAATTATATATTTTATTTCAATATTTTATATGGAATCATTGAAACCTATTTAATGAATTGAGTACATTTCCTTTTTTCATTTTTCTTTTTCTTTTGTATTTGTTATGACTGGCTTAAGCCACAATGATTAGACTTGTATCATATGTATACATTTATCTGACACATATTTGGTATGCTTTTGTTTTTGTATGTTTTATTTAGTTCTTCAATAAAGATTTGTATTTTTCACACAAAAAAAACTTAAGTATTTTATGTTTGGAATAAATATACATATTTTGTAGTTATTTTCTCATGAAGGAATTTTTTTTTATTAATATTGTCTTACTAAGAATCACAAGAAAACTATTGGAGTGTGTTGGAATTTCAACCACTTCAAATAACAGTTTATTTGAGTATCTTATATTTTCTATGTATTAATCGAATAATCTACCATTTGCCAATGATAGAGTTTTTTTTTATTCCTTTAATTTAAATCTAGAGTTACTGATTTTATGACATTTGCAATGTACTTGATTAATTCTGGTATTTTTAAGTATTTTTAAGGAAAGTGTGAAATTCCTTTACATTTTAGAATATTTAGAATAAAATTCCTGAGAAAGCCATTTTAAAATAAACTCTGATTCTTTGGGGATGTCTCTTTTTAAGTGCTAATTGATTTTTTCCCTTTGTTTATAATCAGAATTATCTGATGTATTTCTCTTTTTTTTATGAAGTAGACTTTATTTTGCTTTCAATTTCAATTTTTTTTTTGTTTAGAATATTACTGTAACTAAATTCAAGACTTATTTGGATGTCACCAGTTTTTCCATCAATATCCTCTCACTGATTTAGGATTTAATCTAGGCTATATCATTGCTTATAATTGCTCAATTTCCACAATGTCTTAATCTATGATTGTTTAGCTCTCCTTTCTGGTTTTCATGACCTTGAAAGTCTTGTGGCATACTGGGCAGGTGTCCTGTTGAAGGTCTCTAATGGAGCTGTGTTGTTTTTTTCTCCTGATTAGACCAGAATTATCAGTCATTTGAAATAATACCACAGAGAGAAGTGCCTTTTTCATCACATCATACCAGGGAGGTAATAATGTCCACATGGAATCCGTGATATTAACTTTCATCATTTTGTTGAGGTAGAATGTGCCAAGTTTCAGAGGCACCTTTTGTTTTTTTTCACTGCACTATTTTTTGAAAGATATCAGCAAACCTAGCCTAATCTCAATGGGGATGTGTAAAGAAAGGATAAGAGTTGATCTCCACCTCCCAGGAGCACAGTATCTCCATATGCTATTTACGATTCTGTTTTTTTGTTTTGTTTTGTTTTTGTTTGTTTTTTTTAAAAAACACTTCTTTTTTATTAAAATAATTGGTTTTCAAATATTTATGATTTATTTCTCTTCCATTGACTGTTAACTTCACAAAATACCTCCAGAAATATTGATGAAGACAGCTATGCTTATTTGACCTACTGCAGGAAGAAAAACTATCACCTTGATGGATTACAAGTGTAGTATCTCAAGAAGGAGAAGCCAGAGGGAAAAGGAGATGTTTGTTAGGATCTTATACCTTCATGAGTGATTTTAAAGCTAGTCTTGTCAGGGGGAAAATTGGTTGAGATTCAACAGGGTCTAGGAAGTAGTTTTGGACTGATGGGCACCATGAAGTCAGGATCTTGCAATGAGTATTGATGAACATTTTTGTTAGTTTTGCTTAAAAACCTATTTCAGCTGGTTATTGGTCTTATTTTCAAAGAGCAAGTATTTTCTAGAACAAGTAATTGCTTTATTTTTGCTTGTTCTTGGTATTATTTAATAGAGGTACAAGGAAATATTCTGGTTGCAGTTTTATTTAACAAAGTGACCAGAAATTATGTTGATTTTAGTTCTTAATATTTTGTTGTTTTGCTAGCTTCTTGAGGTGAATGCAGATTTCATTTATCAGACTAAAACAATACATCTATGGCTACAAAATTTCTTTAGAGTATGATTTTGATATTATATGATTTGATATATAGTAAGATTCATTTTTAAATAATATCTAATTTTAGCTTTGATTTCCCCTTTAGCGCAAATAATAAAGCATTTTTATTTTCAAAGATTAATTTTGGCTATTTTTAACTTCTAATTTTATTCTATTAATTCCATTAATATAGCATATACATTTTGCTTGCATTTTTTTTAACTAATATTGTAAATATGGGTATTTGGGAAAAAATCATATTCTATGTTTACTGGAAATTTTAAATATATTATTTCATAAAATACTTCTATTCCTAATACAGGTTTGCTTTATATGGTTCTTTTTTTTTTTTTTTTTTGGTACACACATGCTTACAAAGGCTCTATCTTAATGATAGATTATACCTCTTTGCTTTTTTGTTCCAGCTATTCCTCTCCATTTCCATTCCACTTCTTTATCCCCTAGATCACCAAAAGAGGGACAAGTTCTTTAGGGTCTTACGACTCTTAGGAAACAGTTCCTTTGCTTTTTGGCATTCAGCCTCTCATTTTTCCATCAGAAGTACTCACAGTTCTCCACAGAACACGCTGTAGTTTTTCAGAACAGCCAAGTCTCATTCTAATAAAAACAACAAAAATCAGATGTCTGATTGCAGGGAAGTACCACAGTGACCAGATTTTCTATTACTCTATAGAGTATTTTTACTTCGTATAATGAAGGGTCTGTAATCGCTTTTCTGATATTGGAGTCTGCTTTTTATTTGTTTAGTTATATATCTCATTCAAGAGATTTTTCTAGAAAAAAAGAGCCTGTCTTAAAAATGTATTTTTTTTTTATTATACTTTAAGTTCTAGGGTACATGTGGATAACGTGCAGGTTTGTTACATATGTATACCTGTGCCATGTTGGCGTGCTGCACCCATCAACTCGTCAGCACCCATCAACTCGTCATTTACATCAGGTATAACTCCCAATGCAATCCCTCCCCACTTCCCCCTCCCCGTGATAGGCCCCGGTGTGTGATGTTCCCCTTCCCGAGTCCAAGTGATCTCATTGTTCAATTCCCACCTATGAGTGAGAACATGCAGTGTTTGGCTTTCCGTTCTTGCGATTGTTTGCTGAGAATGATGGTTTCCAGCTGCATCCATGTCCCTACAAAGGACACAAACTCATCCTTTTTTATGGCTGCATAGTATTCCATGGTGTATATGTGCCACATTTTCTTAATCCAGTCTGTCACTGATGGACATTTGGGTTGATTCCAAGTCTTTGCTATTGTGAATAGTGCCTATTTTAAAACAGAAATCTGATATTTTCTCTGAAACATCTCAAGAGTTATTGGAAGTTCTACTGTCTTTCAAGATTTCAGAAATTCTTAGGACCACAGTAGACTTCAGTTTCAAAGTAACCGGTCACATACCTCCAGCAGTCTGTATATTCATTTCTCCAAGATTCTCCCATGCTCATGAGAGCAATTTAATATAGTAAGTGGTCAGCCATTAGAGGTAGATGGCACCTGTTTCGTCTTTATTGTTCTACAACTTACTGCGAGGCCTTGCACAATTTACTTAATTTATTTACAATTATATTTCTCTAAATACAAAATGAGAATAATACCAGGTTTGGCCTTGTGCCACTGTTGCCAGGATTAAATGAGATAAAATCTGGAATGAGATTTGCAAGAGCTTAGCACAGGGTGAGGACTCAAGTTAAGAGAGCTATTATTAGTAATGTAAGCTCAATCCTAAGATAATAAATACATACCCGGCATATATATCTTGTTCCAGGATCATTACCTTTTTCCTGGGAAGAGATCACGATCATACCTAGAAGCAAAAGCCAAGAACCCATCGGTATCTGAGAAAGCACATGATAACAGAAGACAGGGTACAGGAAGCAGGTGCTGAGGGATCTACTTAATTCTGAAGGATGGCATGTGTCTGGCCTAGGGCTATTTTTAACAAGCTCAGCAAAACTACAGCAGATCATATTCTATAGCCTCTTAAAGGAACTGCCAGCACCTTTCAGGTTTCAGGACCAATGGGAACTCCGTGCAAAGGTATCTGTTATCATTTCTGGAGAAATATGTACTTTAATTATGACTGGAATTCCTTGTTATATATTTTAATAATATCCCCACTGTCAGTCTATCCATAATAATTCAAACGGTGCAAATAATCTCTACTACTAGATATTTGCCTTCTCTTTCACACTACTTCAATTTCTGAGAGTTAGTTGCTTCCTCACATCAGCAAGTTGAGTCAGCAGATAAGTGACCACGTGCACATTGCAAAAGTACCTCTTTCCTGTAACAAACCACAGTTATCTCTAATTAAATGTATAGTAAGCACTTCAAACTCAACTCAACATCTCCAGGCATAGTCTCTTGATTCCTATTATCCTCTGCCCTCAAACTTTCTTGTCTTCCATTGTTACCCATCATAGAAAATGGCATCACCATTCATCTAGTTGCTCAGGGTTAGAACCTTGCAATCACATTTCATCCATCTTTCTCTCCTACTTCATAACTAATCCCTCAGTGAATAGCAGTCAGAGTAAAGGTAACAAGAGCTACCTTAAGCATATGTTCTTATTTCACCCTTCTCTCTACCTCCACCACCATTGAAATCACACCATCATTTCTAACCTGGACAACTTCTGTAGCCTCCTAACTTGCCTCATTGCTTCCTCTATTGTATCTCTCAGTCTATTCTGAACATGCCAGCAATTATAGAATTTCTTGACTCCTCAGTGACTTCTAAATGGCAAATCAGATAGTGTTACTCTTGCTTAAAATCTTTCAGTGCTTTCCTATCACACGTTGAATGAAATTCTTATTATGGCTTATAAGAATGTTGGAACACGGTCTTATCTCTAGTTTCCTCTGTGTCATCATTTCTTAAGCTATTTAGCTTAAGAAGTGCTATTTCTTAAGCACTCTCAGCACACTGTTGTCTCAGGATATTTCCACTTGCTATTCCCCTGTCCCAAAATCCTATTCCTTACATGGCAGGCTCACTTAATTCACTTCATTTAGATTTCAGTTTACATATCCTCTTATCAGAGTATCTGCTTTTCTGCTTATATACCCATAACATTTTTTTCCTAAAACTGTGTCCATTTCTCTCTATTCTATATTATGCTATTTTATTTTCCTTCACAGCATTTATTACTTTTCAACATCTTATTTGATTTGATTTGATTTGATTTGATTATTATCTGCCCCTACCCATACTAAAATGTAAGCTCATTGAGAGTGGGGCTGGCTCTTTACTATCCACTTTGGAGTCCACAACATTTATAACACACCTTGAACTGGCCCCACTGTAGATACTCATCAAATAAATTTTCTGTTTATTACTCATTTTAGTTTTGTTTTCTCTTTGTAGTAATTAGTGTATGCTCTGCTAAGGCCTCTAATTAAAACTGTTATATGGAACTGACACAGGGTTATTAGATATATTTTTGAAGCTTGTGTATTTCAGAATACTAGGGACACCTCCTGTATTTGCATTATTAAGAAACTCTGCAACTGTACACATTGGCCCTACAAGGAACAAGAAAGAAAAAGAAAGAAAGAGAGAGAGAGAGAGAGAGAGAGAGAGGAAGAAAGAAAGAAAGAAAGAAAGAAAGAAAGAAAGAAAGAAAGAAAGAAAGAAAGAAAGAAAGAAAGAAAGAAAGAAAGAAAGAAAGAAAGAAAGAAAGAAAGAAAGAAGGAAGGAAGGAAGGAAAGAAGGAAGGAAGGAAGGAAGGAAAGAAGGAAGGAAGGAAGGAAGGAAGGAAAGAAAGAAAGAAAGAAAGAAGGAAATAAAGAAAGAAAGAAAGAAAGAGAAAATTGAACAGGAGCCCAACCTTAAGGCTGATAGAACCAGAGGAAACTGATAAATGTAGAGCAAGTGGAGCCAATAGGATTCTTAAGTCTACTTTTGATGATATCATCGTGCAGATGATCATACTAGAGATCATGATTCTATTGAAAGCCATTGCCCCTTTCCCCAGCCCCTGCCTGCAAATAAGCAAGTATAATAAAAACATAACTTGGAACCAGTAAAATATGTGATTAATATGTAATAAACAGATTGTGTCAGCAGAACAATATCATGTCAGGTAGATGAGGTTAAATAATATGTGGAATTGAATTTATAAAATGTATTTGAAGTCATGAAAAGAAATGGCAATAACCGACAGCAAACTACACATGTTCACAGTATTTTCTTCTCTTAGTATCTCAGGGATTTTATGAATTGGGGAAACTTCAGGAAGAGACAAATGCTCTGTATGTTTTCTTTCCTTCGTCTCCACGCAATGAGGTGGCAGAGATTTCAAATTGAAATGCACTTTGAAGTCATCAGGACAGAAGAGTCATCAATTTTAAGGTCTTTAATGCCCTGGACCATTTAATTTCCTCTTTCTTAGGCCTCTATCACTCATATCAACTTTCTCCACCTTCACTATTCTGGCATTTCACCTTTGCTTTTTTCCTATTAAACCCACTAAAAGGCCCACAAATCATAGCCTCTGGTGAGTCATTTATCTTTCATACTTCAGTTTCATCATCTATAAAATAAAAATACTAGCAATCTTTTATGTGTTTTACAAATATAGTATGGCATAAGGCAAATAATATATGTGGAAAATGATTGAAGACGCTATGAGACAATAAGAAAGTAAGGAAAGTGGAGGAAGCCCAGTCACCTGAAGAGCTGTCACAAATAGAGGAAGAAGGTGAAGCAAGGGTCTAAAGAAAAAGATAAGCAGCAGATAGTGGAAATCAGGTGGTAGGGAAAGTGACTGCACCTAGTAACCTAAGGGAACAGTATAGAAATAAATGAAAAATCTTGTGAAATGTCAAGATAAATACATAATCTTTTGCTCATCAAACAGAGCTAAGCACTGTAATATGCTAAATATGTGTTATTATTTATATGCATTGGAAATTGGTTAGTAAAAGCATAAGCTGGCTTACTTACACTGAGTTAGGAATTAAAATTAAGTCATGATTGCTATGGCTGTGTTTGTGCTTAAGTGAAATTGCATTATGATTAGGTTAATAGAATAAGACGTTAAGTGCAAAATCCATTAAAGTCTTGAGCTCTCAACTCTTATCAAAGGAGTAAGGGAATGAGTTAAAAATAATAGGCAATTATAGCCTACAAACAACTACTCTTGGGAGATCTTTGTGTAAGAGCCAATAGTAGAGGTTGTTCAGAACAGGCAAATGGATGACTCAGAGTAGAAGCTGGTCTCATGGCCTGAGGCTTCCTTTTCATGTTTCTCAAGTCAGAAGTACTTTGCACACTTCTCTCAGTAAAATATAAACGAGGAAATCCCAAGGAAAATCAAAGCAGGCTGCAAATACTAGATTATGACATAAACAGATTTCTTGATTCGTTCAGAATTAGATGCTAGTGAGATTTCAGACTACTGCTCCTCTTCAGGGAGAAAATCACTAAATAAATTCCTCTCACTTACTTTGGGACTACTTCTTGTTGAAAAGTGTTACTCTAATGATCTTTGTGCACTGGCTTTGTTACCTAGGCTTCAGGGTGCAAAGGAGTAAATTCCAAGAAAGTAAAATGAAACTATTTGTCTATTTTATACATTAATTAGATGAAAAAGCTGTATCTCTATAATGCCAGGAATCCACATTCCAAACTCATAGAAATTGGAGTCTTTTATTTTATTGACTGCTACCAGTACTTTTTTTTTCATTTTTGGATTTTTTTTTTTTTTTTTAAGTTTGACACTAAACTCAAAGCCTGTCATAAAGAGTGAAAATTGGCCACGCATGGTGGCTCACACCTGTAATTTCAATACTTTGGGAGGCTGAGGTGGAAGCTGAGGTGGAAGGATTAGTTGAGTCCAGGAGTTCCAGACCAGCCTGGACAATTTTTGTCTCTACAAAAATTACAAAACTTACCCAGGCATGGTGGTGCATACCTGTAATCCCAGCTACTCAGGAGGTTGAGGTGAGGGAATCTTTTGGGCCTAGGAAGTTGAGCCTGAAGTGAGCCATGATTGTGCCACTGCACTCCAGCCTGGGTGAAATAGTAGGACTCTGCCTCTAAAAAAAGACGGAAAGTTGCAGAATCATATTTTGGGTTTTTTTTTTTTTTGCATAAAATAAAAGATTTATATAAATAGAACAAGATCAAATAATAAATATATAAGTTTTATTTGAAAATTTTATTTTGTATGCTTTATTGACACAAACCACATACCAGAATTTGTAGAAATAATCCAAGTGGTATAGAAACCAACTATGTTTTTATAGTCACGAGATGGTAAAGATTTTTCTATGTCAATTTAATGGATTTAATTTTTACAAAGAAGATATTATTTATAGTATGAACTGGATTAAATCTTGGATTTCTATTTTGCTCTGTAATGTAAAACTGAATTAATATTTATTTCCATGGGTTCATTAAATCAGCAAATATTTGTGGAGTGCCTTCTAAATGACAGGCACTGTTCTAGGTAACGGGGTTAGGGAAGAAAACAAGATGAACAATACTTTTATCTTAACAGAGCGTGTGTACTAGGAGTGAAAAACATTAAATTTAGATTAGATAGACAAATAGATAAAATTTAGATTAGGTAGGTATAAAAGTTGTGATGAAAATAAATAGGGAGATGGGCTAGAGTTTGTGGTGGGTTACTTTAGGTTGAGTGGCCAGACACTCTATTTTTGAGTCTGAATTATGAGATTTGGACAAACAATATTCTCAGCAGGGAGTGACAATGACAATGCCTGAAGATAAGAACTAGCTAGTTTTACAAAATAGGAGAAAAGTCAGTGAAACAAAGTAAGCAGAGTGAAGAATAGCATGACATGGCTCTAGGGTGTTGGTAGAAACTAAACCTCACAGAGCCTAATAGGACAACATAAGAGGTTAATTTTATTCTATATTCAGTGTTTTATCAATCATATATTGCTGGGAAGCAAACCAGTCCAAAACTTAATAGCTTAAAAAACCATATTTGGCTGAGTTCAGTGCCTCACACTTGTAATCCCAACAATTTGGGAGACTGAGGCAAGAGGATCACTTGAGGCTAGCCTGGGCAATGTAGCAAGACTCCGTTTCTACAAAAAAATTAAAAAATTAGCCAGACACAGTGGTACATGCTGTGGTCTCAGCTAGCGGGGAGGCTGAGGTGGTAGGAACTCCTGTGTTTAGGAATTTGAGGCTACAGTGATCTGTGAGTGTGCCGCTGCCCTCCCACCTGGGTGACAAAGTGAGATCTTGTCTCAAACAATATTGTTTAATTAAAACAAAAAACTATATTAATTTATTTTGCTCACAAATTTGCAATTATCCATGCAACATCAGCTGAAGTGTTTCAACTGGGCCCTGAAAGATTCAAGATGGTTTACTCACAAGGCTATCAAGTTCTTATGGGTTATCAGATGACAGCTCAATCAAGCTGTAGTCCAGGCACCTACATTCTTCTTCACGTGAGCCTCCACACAACAGGTCTCTTGGACTTGTACAAGCATAGTTGCTAGGTATTAAGAGCAAGCATCCTAAATGAACAAGGAAAATGTACAATGCTTCATGGCCTACTCTCAAAAGTCATAGAGCATTAATAATCACAACCTTGCCCATATTCAAGGGAAAGGAATACCTCTTGATGGGAAGACCTTCAAAGTCATATTGTAAGAAAAAGAAAGTAGCTGGGCATGGTGGCTCACACCTGCAATCCCAGTACTTTTAGAGGCTGAGGCATCAGGATTTCTTGAAGCTGGGAATTCAAGATCAGTCTGAGCAACAAAGTGAGACCCCGTCTCTACAAAAATAAAAATTAAAAAATCAGCCAGGAGTGGATGCATGCCTGTGGTCCAAGCTACTTGAGAGGCTGAGGTAGGAGGATTGTTTGCACTCAGAAGTTTGAGCCACAGTGAGCTATGAATGTGCCACTGCACTCCAGCCCAGGAAACAGAGTGAGACCCCGTCAGAAAGAAAGATAAGAAAGAAGGAAAGAAGGAAGGAAGGAAGGAAGGAAGGAAGGAAGGAAGGAAGGAAGGAAGGCAGGAAGGAAGGAAGGAAGGAAGGAAGGAGAGGAAGAGAGGAAAGAGAGTAGAAAGAAAGAGAAAAATAATGAATAAAAAACAAATGTGACAGGAAATCTTTGAAAACTACAATCTGCCATAGTCTATCTTCAGGCCACAGTGATTTATATACCTCTCACATGTAATATACAGTCATTCCCCCAAGACTAAAGGTCTCACTTCATAATTACATAAGCTCAAAGTTCAAAATCTTATCATATTAATCCAATTTAGGTAAAAAATAATTTCCCTTGAGTGCAATTCCTCAATTACAGCTCAATGGGCACTCTTTTTTACAACGTGATTCATGTCACACATCTCACCTAAAAAAATATTTTTTCTTGTTCTCCAAATACCCAAAATAAAGTGGTGGGACAGGCATTGGAAAACTGCTGTAGACACTCCTACACAAAAGGGTGGGGAATGGGAAGGAATACAGTAGTCACTGGTCCATATCAATCCTGAAATGCCAGGCACATGCTGCCAATTCTTTGATTAGAGTTCAGTCCTACTCCCTGGAAATTGTTCTCTATGGCTCTTTGCTGCACTCCAACATCTCCTCATTCTGCCCTGAGTCCACCTTCCATTTTCCTAGGTCTTTTTACACCTATTTCCTACTTGTAAAGGGGGCTTAGCAATATTCCATTTTGTGCTGCTTCTTTCCCTTCTTCTTATAAGTTGATACAATTATTTTAATATTTGTGGGATTTCTGTGTATTTGTGTACAATTCATTCCATCAGACAAAAGCCAAAACCACAAATCTTGTCAAGACAGGCCATTCTCTTTCTTGACCTTGCCATGAGATTGCCTTGGGACACCATCCTTTAGATCCTTATAAGCCTTATTGTATCATGGGGGGAGACACTTAAAACACATTGTTATGCTCCTTAGAGGGGTGGTTTGAAAAATTATATAAAGAATCATCTTAGATCTCTCTGAGGTCTTAAGTGTGAGTTGTACAGTATAATTGATTTTCTCCCTTAAGTCAGTCCTTCATTTGCAATCTAGAAAGAGTAAGAAAGAGAAACTGATTTATTTTCCAACTAAGAAAGTTCTGAATATTTTATATTTAAGACTTAATTTTTAGCTCATTCCTCTCTCTCTGACATTTTATCATAGGCAGTGAAAAGAATCGAGGTGACACTTCCAATTTTCTGCTTGAAAATTTCCTTAGTTTGATCATCATGTTCATTGCTATATTTCCCATTTTGCCTGTTACTTGAGGTAATAGTGTTGTCAAAGTTTCCATTGCTACTAAACATCTTCCAATCACATTTTCCTACTTTCCTTGAGCTGCCAGAAACAGCTTTCTCAATATTCTTTAGGCTTCTGGTGACACTTTTCCAAAGCTTTTCTGGCTTCCATCAATGGCCTATCTCAAAGCCAATGCTACATGTTTAAGAGTCTGTATAGCAACACCCCACTTTCCAGTACCAAAATTTATATTAGTTATCTGTTACTGGATTTTAAAAAAAATCCCAAAACCTAGTGACTTAGAAGAAAAACAAAAATTTCCTTTGTTCATAATTCTGCAACTTGACCAAGTATGGTGAGGAAAGCCCAACGGTCAAGATGGCTGACTTTCTTGACTGGCAAATTAATACTGGCTATAGCCTGAAACCTTAGCTGAAACTGGAGGGGCCAGATTTCTCCATATGGGCCTCTCCATAGGTTACATGAATTTATTCAGACCTAGAGACTGGGTTAGACAGTGTCCTAAGGGGATCAGGTATGACTTTAACTAATTTCATTACCTGTAGTGTCACTTCCACTGGAATCATAGGGCCATCCATATTTACAGGGAGGGGACATAGACTCCCACCTTCCAGTGGTAGGGATATCAAGTTACATTCACAGAAGTAAATGTAGGATGGGAGACTTTAAGTCTTCTTTGGAAAATAAAATTTGCTCAAATGAAAAGACATCAGATGGCTTTGAGCTAGATTAGTAATGTGATCTGATTTTTGTTGTAAAAGATTCCTCTGGTTTCTATGTGGAAGATAGATTAATGTGTATCAAGATGGAAATTGAGGATATCACTAAAGAGGCTATTGCCAAAGTTTAGGAAAGAGATAACGGCAACTTGAATGGAGAGAAGAAATAGAAACGGAGACAAGATTGGAGATAATGTTGTAGAGGTTCAATCAGTGGAAATAAATTAGATGCAGCAATTGAGAGAAAGAGAGTAATCAAAAATTACTTCTAAATTTTGCACTTGAGAAACTGTGTGAATTGTAATTCTATTCACTGAAATGAAGAAGGCTAGGGAAGAAACAAGTTTTAAGTCTGTTTTACAAGGAGATGAGATCAAGAGCTCGGCATTGTATGTGTTAAGTTTGAATTCTTTATTTAACATTCAAGTGGAGATGTTAAGTAGGCCATTATGTTTATGTTCCTAGAATTCTAGGATTCAAGAGGAGATGTCAGGGATAGAAGTACAGGGTGGTGGAGTAGAAGGGGATAACTTTTGTTACCCATGTAAATGCCATGGGTAATGATGAAATAAAGCAATTTAGATAATTGATGCAGAACCTAATGGGTAGCCCAGGATCCTGAAACATGCTAATATTAGAAGACTGGGCACAGAAATAGGAGTCAGTGGAAAAGAACAAGAAGGGGAAACCAGTGGAAGTAGGGGCTCTCCAAAATGCCTACTATTTTAGAAGCCAAGACAAGTGTTTTAACTACTATGACTCTGTAGTACAAACACTCCAAAACTTAGGTCATTTAAAAATAAATATTTTTCTGTGAATCAGCATTTGAGCCAGGCTCTTACTTTACTCTGCTCTAAGTGTAAGATGGGATAACTTGAAGGCAACAGGCTGAAATCATATAGAAACTTCCCCTCAAGTGCCTGGTGCCTGTGTTGTGAAGATTCACACTTCGAAGTTTGGCCAGCTGGAGTTTCTAAATCCTCCTCTCTATCACTAAGTAGTATTTCCATGTAATCACTCCAGAATGGTGGCTTTAGGGTAGCTGTACTTATTACATATATGTTTAGGCTCCCAAGTTGTATGATCCCGAGACAGAGTCAGGTGGGTACATATCAGCCTTCATTACTTAGTCTTATAGGCCCTACAACATTGAGTCCACCACATTTTATGGGATAATGCAATTTAAAAGGTCCAAAGAAGCTGAGGAGAGGAAACAAAGATCCATCAATCAATGGAGGAAACATAGATCCCCATCTCTCAATATTACTTTGTTGGAATATGTTGGTGCAGTCATCTTTGGAAAATATAATCTGCTACAACTAACAAAGTAGATCAGATAAGGTCAACAGTATTGGATTCCATTAAGATAGCTAGTAAGGTGAGCCTATTAGAATGAGTGCTGAATTTCCCAGCTGTTAGAGATCACTTACAACCCTAGCCTGACCAATGGAAAATAATGAAAACAGCATGGGGAAGAGTGAAAAGGAAGGGCAAGAATCTGCGATTATAAGAATAATGACTATAGATGACTTTTTAAAAAATTATAATTTAAGTTCTGGGGTATATGTGCACAATGGGCAGGTTTGTTACATAAGTGCCAATATGTCACATGTATCATATTGGTTTGCTGCACCTATCAATTTGTCATTTATATTCGGTATTTCTCCTAATGCTACCCCTCCCCTAGATCTCGACCCCTGACAGGCCCCAGTGTGTGATGTTCCCCCTCTGTGTCCATGTGTTCTCATTGTTGAACTCCCACTTATGAGTGAAAACATGCAGTGTTTGGTTTTCTCTTCTTGTGTACCATTCAGCACATAGGCATGGGCAAAGCCTTCATGACAAAAACACCAAAAGCAATGGCAACAAAAGCCAAAATAGAAAAATGGGATCTAATTAAACTAAAGAGTGTCTGCACAGCAAAAGTAGATGACATTTAAGAAAGTTTTCTGTTGAAGGGAACTAAGAAATACAGCAGCAGATCAAAGATATATAAGTTAAAGGAAATTAATTTTTTAAAGAGGGAATATTTGCATGCTGATGGAAATCATTTAAGAGAGAGATAATAAATTGCAAAGAAAAAAGGGAATATGGTGGGCACAGAGTCTCAGAGTATTGCACAGCTTAAGATATTGGACTGTAATGAGAGAGGAAATCTATTTTTTTATTTAAAAAATTATTTGTCTTTTTTTCCTCAAGTTCAGTAATTTGCCCAGAGAGTGGATTCTATTGATAGCCTCCTGAGGAAAGTAAGTTAGAGGTAAAAACAAAATTATGGTTTTGTGAATACAGTGGAAGAAAATACAGCCCAAGATATTAGCAACATTATTTTTGAGTTATGTATTTTTAAGTTTAAAATTAAGGTAACAGCCATCACAGGCAAGATCAGACAATTTTTCCTTCATTTTAATCATATTTCTGGTTCTAATGATCTGAAAAAAAACTTTACTCTTCCCTAATTTAACTAATCTTTACTCTACTGTTTAGTTCTTGTATTTTTTTTTAAAAAAAGATAGCTGAAAGAATACTAATTGTCAGGC